TTTTTTTTTTTTTTTTTTTTTAAGTTTATTTTGAGAGAGAAAGAGAGCACAAGCAGGGGAGGGGAAGAGAGAGAGAATCCCAAGTGCAGAGCCGGATGCGGGGCTTGAACCCACAAACTGTGAGATCATGACCTGAGCTGAAGTCAAGAGCTGGATGCTCAACAGACTGAGCCCTAGAAGAGTTTTTAAAGGGATTAGTTTCTGGTGATTTGTTTGAATGTGGCTTTGTAACTGTGCCCTACCTGTATTATAAAATGTGATTCTAGGCCAAGCTCATTTTAAATTTGTAGATGTAACATTTGTTGTGTAGGTATGCCAGAAATTTGCTCTCTCTTTTTTTTTTTAATGTTTATTTATTTTTGAGAGAGGGAGAGAGACAGAGACAGAGCACAAGAGGGGGAGGGGCAGAGACAGAGGGAGACACAGAATCCGAAACAGGCTCCAGGCTCTGAGCTGTCAGCACAGAGCCCCATGCAGTGCTTGAACTCATGAACTGTGGGATCACGACCTGAGCTGAAATTGGATGCTTAACTGACTGAGCCACCCAGGCGCCCTGAAATTTACTCTTTTTCATAGTGTCAATATTAATATCTATCATCTGAAATACAAGAATCTTTCTGAAAATTCAGCTTGATAGTGTCACTGTGCTACCTAGAAACAGAAAATTATTCATTTTTTGGGTCGAGTCACCAAGATTACTATTTGGTCATTTACCTAGTGGCTTAATGAACTAGAGCATTTGCCCAAAGGGAGCCATTTAGTCCCCTGTCAGCACTTATGGTCAAGCCTATGGTGTATCTCAGATGAAGTGTGGTAGGAGGGGTTCATTGCTGTTCTCTCCCTTCAGATTTAAGCCTAGGATATTGACTCATTTTTTGACTACTTTCCCTTTCGTTTTTGTATTAGACAGTAACTGTGGGGCTGAAGCTCTGGGGAGGTATTTGGCTCTGTCCCCTGACGTCGTTCCATTGGTTGAACTATCTCTAGCAACTGAGCACGTTTCATTTCAAGCTCTTCAAAGCTGAGTAAATCTTGGCAGAACCCCATAGAAAACAGAGCATGTAATTCTTTTTTTAAAGCCACCATATTATTAAGTGAAGAATTGGGGTAAAGTATATTGCTTTAGTGGTCTTAATAGCACTACTTAAAAAGGTCCTTTTACCATTATCATTACAATGACTTTATGATGTGGTCCAAGGACCTTACTAGGAAGAAACCCTGAATCCTGAGGGGCGCTTAGAGTAACAGGGAAAAGGCTTTGTCAGAAGCAGTTCAGAGTCCCAACTCTTTCCCTATATGCAGCCTCTTCTTGGTTGCTTTGAAGGATGTCATAGTTTGTAAAGCTCTTAAGCTGTAAGCTGACTCCATTAGGCATGAGATGGTCTGATGTTGTGCAAAGGGCACGGGTTCGGGGAGTCAGGAAGAGATGCATTAAAATCTCTACTCTGCCATTTAATAATTATGGGTGAGTAAGTTATCTCACCTGAGTCCTAGGTCCTCATTTTAAAAATAAGGATAATAATACCTACCTTGTTGTGAGTATATGTGAGATTTATTGGCAGGTAGTAGGTTCTCAGTGAATTAAGGTTGTTTTGTCCTCTGCATTAATAGTCTGTGTATTCTCTGGTGGTGGTGGAAATTCCCTGCATCCACAAATTCAGAAATATCTAGCAAGGGTCATTTTAGTCTTACTTGCAACTGTCCGTCCACGGATGTAAATTTGAAGGAGTGGATAATAAAGTTGGCCAATTCATCTGTTTCTGAGGAAATGAACAAGGAAGGGTGGCATTTGGGTAATCAGAAAACGCTATCTTAAAATAACAAAAAAATTATTTAAAATGATTACATTATAATATTTTGAAACTCAGTGATGTTAATTAAAATTATCTTGTTTTTTTGTGTTTTTAAAAAATGTTTATTTATTTTGAGAGAAAGAGTGCATGTGTCAGGAGGGGGCAGAGAGAAAGAGAGAGGTAATCGCAAGCGGGCTCTGAGTTGTCGGCATGGAGCCCAATGCGGGGCTCGATCCCACAAACCGTGAGATCATGACCTGAGCCAAAATCTAGAGTTGGACGTTCAACCAACTGAGCCACCCAGCCGCCCCTAAAATGATCTTTTGTTATTGAACAGTACTGTTTTTATATCTGTCTCCAGGGAAGGAAGAATATGCAAGACGGTGCGAGCGATGGTGAAATTCCCAAATTTGATGGTGCAGGCTATGATAAGGATCTGGTAGAAACTCTTGAGAGAGACATCGTATCCAGGAATCCTAGCATTCATTGGTTAGTCTTTAAGTTCTTAAATTAAAGTAGCAGAGAAAACACGTTACTGGGTGGCCTGGTGTGAGTCTTTTCTTATTATCCATTAATCTTCCTGACTGTGACTTCATGCCTAATATATGAGTGTGTAGGATTGACAGGACAATTCTTTCAAAATACAACCAAGACATTTTACATGTTAATTTGATGTTGCCATAACTGATGAAGGTTGTTAATTGAATAACATGTCCTAATTAATAACTGCCATATGTTTTCACTGATCATTTTATGCAGTATTAATTAAATCATGTTCTTAATGTAATAATAACTTCATAAATAAAAAGTTTAAAAGAATTAGTATTGCCCATAAGTCAGAGGTGTCCTTGAATAAACACGAAACTTTGCTGTCGTTGCAAAGGGATGACATAGCAGATTTGGAAGAAGCTAAGAAGTTGCTCAGGGAAGCTGTTGTTCTGCCAATGTGGATGCCTGACTTTTTCAAAGGGATTAGAAGGCCGTGGAAGGTGAGCATGTATTAAAATAAAATAGGTATAAAAGTGTGGCTTATGTGATAATGAAAGACACCATTGTGGTTTCTTTATGTGTTTGTTAGCACAGTGAGTAAAAGCTGGAGGAGGTTTGTGTACCCCCAAATACCTGGATTTGAATTTGTAGTTGAGGTATGTTGCCTCTGCATGGCAAGAGAGGGACAGAGTGTTGAAATTACCGTCTTCAGTTAAGTCACGCCCCTCAGGTTTGCCAAGCTAGGGATTAGCTTTAAGAATTTTCTAGATGTCTGTTTCTGTAGATAAAAAAAATTAAGAAGCAAATTAAAGAGTCTATTTATTTATTTATTTACTTACTTACTTATTTATTTATTTGGTAATCTGTACACCTCACCTGGGGCTCAGACTCAACGGCCTCAAGGTCAGGAGTTGCATGCTCTCCCAACAGAGCCAGCCAGGTGCCCCTAAACAGCAGGGAATCTCATAGAATAAGTGTTTGATCAAATAAATGCCTTTCTAGAAGTTGACGTATTTCTCACTGTTAATTATTTTGGTCACTTAAGACATGCCCTCTACTTTATTATTTTTTTTTTTTAATTTTTTTTTTCAACGTTTATTTATTTTTGGGACAGAGAGAGACAGAGCATGAATGGGGGAGGGGCAGAGAGAGAGGGAGACACAGAACCGGAAGCAGGCTTCAGGCTCCGAGCCATCAGCCCAGAGCCCGACGCGGGGCTCGAACTCCCGGACCGCGAGATCGTGACCTGGCTGGAGTCGGACGCTTAACCGACGGCGCCACCCAGGCGCCCCATGCCCTCTACTTTAGATTAAAAAGTCTGCCCAGGGCTAGTTCCCAAGTCCGTTGCTTTTATTTCGACATCTTAAAAAAGAACCTTCTGACAATGGCTGCCTGGAACTTTGTTTGGTCTTAGTCACAGGCAAATCTGACTGGTAGAGTGAAATAAAACCATGATCTTCCTTTGCCCTTCTGAATCACGTAGGAAGGTCTGTTTCTCTTCTCAATATCTCTTTCTCTTTGGACAGGCCTTACAGTAAAGAAGAGAAGAAATTGTGTATTTACCCAAATAGCTTGGAATACCCCTAGCATTTTGATTGTCTTCTACAATTTAAAAACTTTTGTGGACTGTTACAAATCTACCAAATCTTGGTAACATATTACTGTATATTCCCTTTTTATTGGAACTGTTAAAACGATATTTAAAAGAGAGAAAAGTAGGTATTTAAAAGTAGGTATTTAGGGGCACCTGGGTGGCGCAGTCGGTTAAGCGTCCGACTTCAGCCAGGTCACGATCTCGCGGTCCGTGAGTTCGAGCCCCGCGTCAGGCTCTGGGCTGATGGCTCGGAGCCTGGAGCCTGTTTCCGATTCTGTGTCTCCCTCTCTCTCTGCCCCTCCCCCGTTCATGCTCTGTCTCTCTCTGTCCCAAAAATAAATAAACGTTGAAAAAAAAAATTAAAAAAAAATAAAAAAGTAGGTATTTAAAGGAGGTTTAAGGGGCGCCTGGGTGGCTCAGTCGGTTAAGTGGCCGACTTTGGCTCAGGTCATGATCTCACAGTCCGTGAGTTCGAGCCCCGCGTCGGGCTCTGGGCTGACCGCTCAGAGCCTGGAGCCTGTTTCAGATTCTGTGTCTCCCTCTCTCTGACCCTCCCCGACCCTCCCCCGTTCATGCTCTGTCTCTCTCTGTCTCAAAAATAAATAAAAAAACGTTAAAAAAAAAAAAAAAGAGCTTTAAGACAGCAGGAATAGTAGGCATAAACCCACCTATCACGATGAGCCCTGTAAATCTTTTTTTTATAAAGTTTATTTATTTATTTTGAGAGAAAGAGAGCAAGCGGGGGGGAGGGGCAGAGAGAGAGGGAGAGAGAATCCCAAGTGGACTCGGTGCTGTCAGCGTGGAGCCCGACGAAGGGCTTGAACTCAAAAACTGTGGGATCATGACCCGAGCCGAAATCAAGAGTTGGAGGCTTAACCGACTGAGTCACCCGGGCGCCCCAAGCTCTGTAAGTCTTTAGCAGGAGGGTGATTTGCAAACGTAGAAAGATCACCTTGACCAGAAGTATGGAGGATGGACTGGAGATGGGCATTGATGGATATAGATGAGGAATCTGATTAAGAAGATGTTGCACCAGTCGAGCTGAGCAGTGAGGACCTGAACAAAGGCATTTGTTATTTGGCCAGTGAAAAATGGGTGGATTTATGAGATATATAAAAGATATGACTAATAGTCTTAGGGATGAGGAAAAGGGACCAGTTGTATGACCCCCAAATTCCAGGCTTAATTGAAGGAGTGTGCAGTTACTTGGGACACCAGCTACTTTGGGCCGAATCTCATAGGTTGAAGGCACTTTTCCGTGGGACTGTCCTCACTTCAGATGCCAGCTGCCTACTTGGGCATCCCCAGGTCTCCTTCACTTCTGGCCAGCTGGCTATAAATTTGGGGGTTCTTACCATCTCCTTAGATTTGGTAATTCTCTAGAATGACTCACAGACCTTAGGAAAGCATTGTACTTACAATCACAATTTTTATCATAGCAAATGGAGGCAAATCGGGATGAGCCAAGGGAAGAAACGCACAGGGGCAAGATCAGGAGGATGCCGGAAGCGAAGCTGCTGTTGTTTTTTTGTCCATAGAGTCAGGTTGCTTTGCCCTCCTAGCACATGGGTGTGTGACAACACATAGAGTCCTGCCAGCAAGGAAGCTCACTCAAGCTTCACTGTGGAGGGTTTTTATTGGGGTTTCATTACATAGCTGGGATTGATTGAATCACTGCCCACGTGTCTCAGTCTCCAGTCTCCTTTCTTTCTCTAGAGGTCTAGTTGACATCACTCAACCCAAAGTTGGCTCAAAGTCCTAACGCTCTGATCCTATGGTTGGTTTTTCTGGCAAGACCAGCTACCATCTGAATTATCTCATTAGCGTAAACTATATAGGGGCCTACCATGAGTCACCACATTAACATAAAATTTCAGGATTCAAATGAAACAACAAAGACACTCCTGTCACTTTGGAAATTCCGAGGATTTGTGGTCTCCACCTCCCGGGAACTGGGGGGAAAAACAGCCCAATCCTTTATTATACAGCATGCACACTATAAACTAACACTGGAAATTGAGAAGAGGCGCAGGTTTAAATAGAAACAAAATATGTTTAGGTAAATACTCAGCAAGTAATTGGAAACAGAGGTGTGGAGCTTAGGACAGAGTTTGGATTTAAATTAAAATAGTGGGAATATACATGTGGATGAGATGATTCAAGGAGGTCTATAAAGGGAAAAGAGCAAAAGGCTTGGAATCGCTTTGAGAATGTGAAGGGCAGAGGAAGAGGAGACCCGAAAGGCACTGAAGAGAGTCCCAAGTAGGAGGAGTCTCAGGGAAGGAAGAGGGTCATAGAATTAACCCAGGGAGAAAGCGTTTCAGGAAGAAGGGAATGAACGTTAGGTATCAGCACCTTCAATGGACAGAGAGAAGGAGAAACGACAGAAGTTGAAAAATGACCCTGGCATTAGTAAATTGGGCAGTTTTAGTGAATTAGTGGAGGCAGAAGGCGGATTGTAGCTCATAAAGAAAAAATAGTAAACACATACCATTTCTTTAAGAAGGTTGGCTGAGAAGGGAAGGCGAGGCGAATAGTAGCTAGAGGATATGTAGGGTCGAGTGAAGGATTTTTTGTTAACAGGACAGATTTAAGTCTGTTTATATACTGAGGGAAGGAGCCGATAGAGAAGGAGATACAGGAAACCGAGGAGATAATTGAAAGAGGAGCTGACGTTTATAAAAACTGTACTGTGTGAATCTATCTATGTACAGATGCTAATTTTGGAAATTAGCTCCTGTTGGAGGTGGCCCCATTGAAGGACATTACAGGAACTGAGAAGGGCATTCCAAGGGGACATTAGAAAAAGAAATAATGAATTTGGCTATAGCTGTGCTATATTAGTTGTTTTTACAGTTTCCAAAATACCAATCTCATACACCGTTAAAGGCTCCTTGCAAAGCAAAATACTTTTTATAAAAGTAGTGTTTTAATTTTTTTTTTTTCAACGTTTATTTATTTTTGGGACAGAGAGAGACAGAGCATGAACGGGGGAGGGGCAGAGAGAGAGGGAGACACAGAATCGGAAACAGGCTCCAGGCTCCGAGCCATCAGCCCAGAGCCTGACGCGGGGCTCGAACTCACGGACCGCGAGATCGTGACCTGGCTGAAGTCGGACGCTTAACCGACTGCGCCACCCAGGCGCCCCTAAAAGTAGTGTTTTAAATCCTAGTGACCTCTGCTCTTTCTGGGTGTCTGAATTCTATAGCTGTGTTAACCTGAAAAATAAAACTCAGTTACTTTATCAGCAAAAACTGGGTTTATTTAGGAATAGCAGAGAATTGCAATTTGGGACAAGCAAGCTATAGCAGAACCATAGGCAAGACTGGAGAACAAAGGAGAGGAACACTCTTTTATAGAGGAAAGGGGAAATTGGGAGGCCTGTTGCAAAGAAAAAGTGTATTGGAGGGGCTCCTGGGTGGCTCAGTCAGCTAAGCATCTGACTGTCGGACTCTTGATTTAGAGTACTGAGTTGGCCTCTGCACTGACAGCAGGAAGCCTGCTTGGGATTCTCCCTCGCTCTCACTCTCTCTCTCTGTCTCCCTGCACCCCCTCCACACTGCTGCTTCTCTCTCTGTCGAAATAAATAAACATTAAAAAAAAAAAAAAAAAAAGGAAAAGTCTATTGGAGCAAAGTGTAAGGTCAAAGTATAGTGGTTTTTCATTGGCTGGGTTATGACACTCTTTCATTGGCTGGACTGTTGCCAGGGGAGTAGAAAAACCTTTCTTCCTCCTGCTGGGGTGGTAAAGTAGCTAAGGTAGCATAGACTTGCAAGACCGATCTCTTCCCGTTGGGTCTGCAATCGACTAGGGGTTGTAGGGTGTGAGAGCTCCCCCTTCTGGCCTCCAGGCTCTATTTTAAGAGTTTTCCTTTTCTTAATTTTTACACTAGAAAAGGGTTTGGACAGTTTCTAAATTTCTGAAACTTTTATGTGCACATAGTTTTCAAAATGTAAATCCCCAGAAGCTTATTAAGCCAAATAAATGGGAAGGAATTATTAAGATCATCCACGATTATACAAAAGAAATGTAGCGTCACCTATATATCTGCACTCCCATTAAAAGTGTCAGAATAGGAAGTATCTGAAAATCCAGTAGTCTTCAACACTAAAGGATTGGTGTTCTTGAATAATTTTTACTCCTTATTGATTTATTTTTACAGAATAGTTTTGTTTTCAAAGGTATTAAGTAACTAAAATGTAGTTTTGAGTCTGTTATATTTAGTGGCTCTTTCATCGGTAACACTATTGTATGTAAACTATTGTCTGGCACATTAAGCTGACGAAATGCTAGCTAAATTGGTTATGCTTGAATTGCCCCTAGATTTCAGTTACCTTACTAACTGATAAGTGGATCTAGTTTTGATTAAAAACTGTGTATTATGTATTGTGGAAGATTGGTTTTGTCCCTTAGGAGGGCAAGGAATATGTAATTCTACTAGATGTGGTAGAAAAGGTTTTATTTTATGTTTATTTATTTAAAAAAAAAATTTTTTTTTAAATGTTTATTTATTTTTGAGACAGAGACAGAGCATGAGTGGGGGAGGGTCAGAGAGAGAGGGAGACACAGAATCTGAAACAAGCTCCAGGCTCTGAGCTGTCAGCACAGAGCCTGACGCGGGGCTTGAACCCACGAACCGTGAGATCATGACCTGAGCTGAAGTCAGAAGCTCAACCGACTGAGCCACCCAGGTGCCCCTTATTTTATGTTTAAATAGAGCAGTCATTCATAAGCAGTGCTCAAGACTATACATATGTATCTTCTTCCAGGTTTAAGAAAATTGGGTCAGTTCTTTTTTTTTTTTTTTTTTTTTTAATTTATTTGTTTATTTTGAGAGCGAGAGTATGAGTGGGGGAGGACCAGAGAGAGACTAAGAGAGAGAGAAACCCAAGTAGACTCCACACTGACAGCACAGAGCCCAGAGTGTGGCTCAAACTCATGAACTGTGAGATCATGACCTGAGCCGAAACCAAGAGTTGGACGCTTAACCAACTGAGCCACCCAGGTGCCCCTGGGTAGGTTCTTTCGAAATGTATCAGAAGATTTCTTCTTGTCTGGGCCTTTTGTTGTAACACCCATTTCTGACTACCTCTGATTTGAGACATTTTATGAAATCAGTCTTCATTTTTTTTACTGTGTAAAATGATACTCATATCAGATGCACCATGATTTCACTGTGATAATTGGGTTTACCTTTTGATGGGAATTTTTATGTATGTCAATAGCTGATGATACTTTATAAGAATGTATTTTAATCTGATAAAACATTTAATACATCTTTTGAAATTTCAGGGCGTATTGATGGTTGGACCCCCCGGCACTGGGAAGACTATGCTAGCTAAAGCTGTTGCCACCGAATGTGGCACAACATTCTTCAATGTTTCCTCTTCTACACTGACATCTAAATATAGAGGTGAATCTGAGAAGTTAGTCCGTCTCTTGTTTGAAATGGTGAGTGATGATCTATATATTCAGATTTCAAAGTACTGTTTGTGTAGGCAAATGATATCCCTATAAATCTAGATCCATTCACCTGGGGATCTGTTTTTAAAAGGGCAAATGGACTTATAGTTGAACAATTCTTGACCCATGAGGAAGATATGGGGTAGTGGGTTTTGTGGAGTAGTTGATGTGTGTTTTCCTCTCTGACATAAAAGAAGGCCCTTCAGCATCCTTTCCAGTGAGGGTTGAAGACACTTTGGAATTGTGTATGTTTGATATTTCTGTATTTCTAATGAGCTGGTTGAGCAGAGTATTTTGTAATGTATATTTTAAAAATCAAATTGATCTATCATTGACGTTTGTTCCTTTTTCATAAGGGATTTGCGGTAGTTATTTAAGAAAGTATGTCTGTTTGAGGATGGTGATTGGTAATTTGTCTTTAAAAAGATTTGTATTTTGGAAATTTTCAAATACAGAAAGTATAAATAATAGTATTATGAATCCCCATGTATGTCAGCTACCTTCACCAACCAAAAAGCTTTTATTTTTAGAAATTTCCTTTATGTGATATAAATGATTTAATCCCTGTTGGTAACCACATGGTGACATTAAAGCAGTGCAAAATTTCTGCTCTTTTTGTTTTTACCATTTCCTTAGGAGGAGGAAATGGCATTAAAAAAATCAGATTATTTTATGAGCTCATTAAATGGTTTCTTTAAAATATTTTTCACAAAGGCTAGATTTTATGCACCCACCACAATCTTCATTGATGAGATAGATTCCATCTGCAGTCGAAGAGGAACCTCTGATGAACACGAGGCAAGTCGCAGAGTCAAGTCTGAACTACTCATTCAGATGGATGGTAATTGATATTTAATTACTGTCACCCAACCATTATATTTCCTTTCTGAATTTTGTGGAGATTCATATTGTGGAAATTGTCAGGGAAGGGACTAGAAGGCAGCCCGAATTTATTTGTGATCATTTGTTCATCCCCCCATTTGTTCGTGCACTCAGGAAAAGCACTTCTTGCATACCTGTCATGAATCACGTACCATTTCAGGTTCTGAAGTTACAAAGAAAAGGAACGTCATGGTCTACAAGGACTTAACTATTAAGAGCAGAGGTTCCGGAGATGTGGTCCGGGGCCCCAGGACCCCTTTCAGACCCTTTGAAAAGGTCTGCAAAGGCTAAACTATTTTCATGATAATATCAAGACGTTATTTGCTCTTTCTGATTCTCATTCTCTCCCCGAGAATACAGTGTAGTTTTTCAGAGACTACAAGACATTTCGGATGTCATAATAGGTGGAAAGCAGAAGCAGATATGAGAGTCCAGCTGTTCTCTGTTGAGTCAGACATTAAAGAGATTTACAAAAATGTAAGAAAATGCCACTCTTCTTACTGGTTTCTTTTTGGTTTTGAAAATCATAGTTATTTTTCATAAAATGGTATTTACATTAACAAATAATAGATTCATTACTATATTAAAATGAATTAATATTTTTAAAAATTCTCCATTTTAATTTCTCATGCTAAATATTGATAGTTATATTCCACACAGACGAAAGCTCTTTGGAGCTCAATAATTTTTAAGAGTGTAAATGGAGCCTGAGGGGCGCCTGGTTGGCGCAGTTGGTTAAATGTCTGACTCTCGATTTCAGCTCAGGTCGTGATCTCATGGTTCGTGGGTTCGAGCCCTGCGTCGGGCAGGCTCTGTGCTGACAGCTCGGAGCCTGCTTGGGATTCTCTCTCTCTCCCTCTCTCTCTCTCTCTCTCTCTGTCTCAAAATAAATAAATAAACTTAAAAACAATAAAAGGAGCATGAAACCAGATAGTAGAACCACTGGTCTAGTTGGGAAGCAGGCAACTTAACAATACATTATAAGTTGTGTGGTAGAACTGACCTCTGGGTGTAGTGAAAACACAGTAGGAAAGGTGCCACCCAGACTAAGGGAATCATGGAAGGGAATAGCTGAGTTGGGCTTTGAAGCTTTGGCAGAAGTTTTTCAGACAAAGGAATGTCATTGAAGGAAGAGAGTGATGGGCCAGAGCCTTCTTTTAGAGGTTTATTATTCTGGTAGTTGTGTGGTATATGTAAAATGTGTTAATATCCAGAATGTGCTGTTTCAAAACAAATAAGGTTATACACCAGCTATAGATACTTACTGAATACTTGTAGTGTGTGTTCTATATGGTGCCAGGCACTGTAAGATACATAAAACCATGTAGTACAAGTCCTCCCCTCAAAACGTTTATCATTTTAATTTCTGCTGAAGTATGAAAGAAAAGAGTGAGTATGTTATATTTTTGGGGAGGGATCTAGAGGAAACCTATTAGATGTTTTAAAAATATCACTGAATATAAATTTAGCTGAATTTCATCGAGGGGTATTTGTGACTACAGTTCTGTTGCTTATTAGTTGGATAGCTTGATTACTTTTTCTTTCTTTTTTTTTTTCTTTGAGAGAGAGAGAGAGAGAGAGAAAGAGAGAGTGAGAGAAAGAGAGAGAAAGAGAGAAAGGGCACAAGTGAGTGAAGGGCAGAGAGAAAATCCCAGGAGGGGCAGATAGAAAGATAGAGGGAGAAGAAGAGAGAGAGAAGCAGGGCTACCCAAGCAGGTCTTGAGCTCACCCAGTGTGGGGCTCGAACTCACAAACTATGAGATCATAACCTGAGTCAAAGTCAGATACTTAACAACTAAGCCACACAGGCAGCCTGGAGAGCTTGATTCTTTGTGGCAATGGTTGAATCAGGAGTTTAGTAATAATTTATTAAGAAAATACCGTATTGAACTGGGTTGCTTTAAATTCACTACTTTGTGGGGCGCCTGGGTGGCTCATTCGGTTAAATGTCTGACTTCGGCTCAGGTCACGATCTCATGGTTCGTGGGTTGGAGCCCTGCATTGGACTTTGTGCTGACAGCTCGGAGCCGGGAGCCTGCTTCAGATTCTGTGTCTCCCTCTCCCTCTGCCCCTCCCCACTCACGTGTCTCTCTTTCTCTCTCTCTCAAAAAGAAATAAACATTAAAAAAAAATTAAAAAAAAAATAAATTCTCTACTTTGTTATGCCAGGCTACAACTAGAAACTCTTATCAATAAACTTTGTGGAGTTTTTGATGTTTTTTTTTTTTCACTGAACATTTTCCAGAGTTGCCGTTGTGTAATCTGAAGCTTCTTATTCTAAAATTTTAATTCTGAAAAAGTAGACTCAATGTGCATATATTTTGTTTGGTATGAAAAGAAATGCTATTTTCAGTAGTGACTGATTATTAGGTTTATTCTCAAATTTTCTGTTGATTTTTAACAAGTCACTTAGAAGTTTGAAGGATAAAATTGTTGCAGTATATAACCTGCAACAAATGTTATGATTGCATGCTAGTACATTAGTAGATGTGAACCTTTTTATTCTTGAGAAAATAAATTAGACTGACAACTAAAATAAAATTTTTTTTGAGGAACTTCATGATTTAAAAAAATAAGGAAGAAAACAGCATAATCTCCCATGCCTTTTCTTTTCAGAGCAAATTAAATCTATATTCATTTTCTTTTTTTTTTTTTTAATTTTTTTTTTCAACGTTTTTATTTATTTTTGGGACAGAGAGAGACAGAGCATGAACGGGGGAGGGTCAAAGAGAGAGGGAGACACAGAATCGGAAACAGGCTCCAGGCTCTGAGCCATCAGCCCAGAGCCTGACGCGGGGCTCGAACTCACGGACCGCGAGATCGTGACCTGGCTGAAGTCGGACGCTTAACCGACTGCGCCACCCAGGCGCCCCTATATTCATTTTCTTACAGAAAAAAAATATTTTTCTTATTGGATTAGATGATGTAAATCGTTACCTCCTTGTTTTGTAGTTATCTGTTGATGTGTCTGGTTCTGCCACCATACAGAGGTCAGAAGGACTGCATTATTTTCGTCATTGAGCCTATGACGAAGCCTGTGGCTGATGCTTAGAGATGTGAGTTGAATGAAAGAATAAGGAACAGTAAGAAAAACTCCTTCTTTTGCCCTTACCATTTATAGGAGTTGGAGGAGCTTTAGAGAATGATGATCCTTCCAAAATGGTTATGGTATTGGCTGCTACTAATTTCCCATGGGACATTGATGAAGCTTTGAGAAGGAGATTAGAAAAAAGGATATATATACCTCTCCCAACAGGTATGATGCCTTCCTTTTGCTATATATATTTTTTTATTTTACTTCCTGTTACCTTTTTCCATTTACGTAAGAATTTAGTCCATTGACATTCTACTTAAAGGTTGTAGTATCACAAAACCAATTGGTCTTAAGTGGAAAGAGAGGCCACAGTAGTTCTCTGTTGAGCTCCTTACATTTCAGAGCAGTATTCGTGTTAATAAATTTGATAGGATATCTAAATTTTTACTTTTTTTTTTTTTGAATGTTAAGTTTTGCGAGAGAGAGTTTGCACGCACATGCAAGGGGGGGCAGAGGGAGAGAGATGGAGGGGGACAGAGGATCTGAAGTGGACTCCGAGCTGATAATAGAGAGCCCAGTGTGGGGCTCAAACTCACTAACTGTGAGATCAGGACCTGAGCCGGAGTTGGACGCTTAACCAGCTGAGCCACCCAGGCACCCCTGAATTTTTACTTTTACAGTCCTCATTAAATCTTAAGTGATTAAAAATAAAGTTCTCTTGGGATTTGCTTCAAAATATGCTGCTCCGAAAAATATAATTTCATCCTATTGAAGACTGTTGAAATTTTCATAAGTGAATTTTTTTCTTTTTATATTGAAATAAAATTTACATAAAATTGAGATAAAATTTAAATCTTAAGTGTGTATTCTGGTGAGTTTTGACAAATGAATATTCCCGTTTAATCGGTACCCTACTGAAGATGTAGGATATTTCTGCACCCAGGAAGTTTCTATGTGCCCCCTACCAGTTAATTCAAACCCTTAATTGGCATTACCTTTCCTGGTTTTTGTCACCATGGATGAATTTTACCTATTATTAAACTTCACATGAATGGAATCCTAATATGTATGTACTCTTGTGTGTCTGTTACTTTCAGGCACCGTAATGTTTTGAGATTCATCCACATGGTTACGTGTATTGGTATATTCCTGATATGATTATGCCACAATTTATGTATTCCTTTTTTGGTTGAACATTTGACTTATGTCTAGTTTAGAGCTATTAGGAACGAAGGTGTAAATAATTCTTGTGCAAATCTTTTTGGGGATGAGTGTTTTGGATTCTGTTGGGTACTATAGCTAAGAATAGAACAGGTGGGTCCTAGGGTAGATATGTATATGTTTAACTTTATAATACTCAAACTTTTCCCAAGTGGTTGTACCATTTTACTCTTTCACCATCAACCAACGAGAATTCCAGTATTTCCACATCCTTGCCAACATTTGGTATGGTCAGTATTTTAATTTTAGTCCTCCTAACAAGTCTGAAATACTCGAATTATGGTTTTAATTTGTGTTTCTCTAATGACTCATAATGTGGAGTGCCTTTTCATGGGCCTGTTGGTCATTGGTATATCTTTTGTGCAGTGTCTTTTCAAGTCCTTTGCTCAGTTTTTAATTGGTTTATTTGTTGTTCTATTAATGCTGTGTAGTTCTTTATCAGATATATACATCATGAACATTTTCTTCCAGTGTGGTTTGCCTTTCAATTTTCTTTATGGTGTCTATTGATAAGGAAAGTTTTAATTAGTTATTTAAGTTTGTTTATTTTGAGAGGGAGAGAGAGGAGAGAGAGAGCACGATCAGGGGAGGGGCAGAGACAGGGAGAGAGAGAGAATCCCAAGCAGGCTCTGCACCATTAGCTCTGAGCCCAGTGCGGGGCTCAAACTCACAAACTGTGAGATCATGACCTGAGCAGAAACCAAGAGTCAGATGCTTAACTGACTGAGCCACCCAGGCACCCCTATTTGTTTATTTTGAGAGAGAGAGAGAGAATGAGCAGGGCAGGGGCAGAGAGAGAGAAAGGGAGAGAGAGGATCCCAAGCAGTCTCTGCACTATCAGCGCAGAGCCCAATGCGGAGCTTGAACCCATGAACCGTGAGATCATGACCTGAGCTAAAACAAAGAGCTGGGCACTTCATTGAATGAGCCACCCAGGTACCCCGGAAAAGCTTTAATTTTGATGGTCTTCTTGTTAAGCTTTTCCTTTACAGATAGCACTTTTTGTGTCTTAAGAAATCTTTGTTTACTCCAAGGGGCAAAGGTTTTCTCCTATTTTTCTTTTAGAAACTATAGTTAAATCTGTGGTCCATCTTGAAGTAATTTCGTGTGTATAGTATCGCTTAGAGGTTGAGTTTCATTTTTTTCAAATATATATCGAGTTGTTCCAAGCACCATTTGTTGAAAGGAGTTTTCTTTTTACATTTAGTTAGTTTGGCACCTTTGTTGAAAATTATTTTTCTGTGTATTTGTGGGTCTATTTCTCAGTTCTCTGTTCTATTCCATTGACTTAAATAAGTATAAGGCTGTCTAATTAGGTTATCTGATTTTTCTTAAGTTTTGATACCTTGTCTTGAAAAGAATTTGTCCATTTCTTCTAATTTGCCAAATTTATTGGGATTTGACCTAATACAAATGTGCAAGCTGACTAAAGGGTTTATGTGAGGCTGTTGATTTCACGTCTGGTTCTGGAGCCTGAAGTCAGTAGCGAGAGCAGTCAGGAAGACAAGATGAAGTGGTGGAAAGAAAGACAAATTATAACCTCTGGGGATGAGCTGGGACCCCATGAGGACATACTGGAACCCATGCTGGGCTCTCATTGCCTCTAAGACTTCCAACTTTGATGACTGGGATGTCCTATTGAAGAAGCTGGCACTGTTTGTAACAGTATTAAATATACACCTGGCTAAGGAGTCAAAAAAGCTGAAGGAAGAAATCTGCCCTAGCAGGGCAGAGCCAGCAGATAAGTGACAGTATGCTTGAGCTGCAAATGCACTTCATATTCTGAACCAATTTTCTGAGTTGATTCATTTCTGCCTTTTAAATTTCACCCATAATGACTTATGTGGTGCACACTGAATCAGAACTATTCAGTGAGGAGAATTCTAGGAAATGAAATTACAGCTTTGCTTAAGTTGACATAATACAAATCTGTACACCTAATTTTCCTTTTATTGTCTGTAGGGTCTATAGTAATGGCTCAGTTTTCATTCCTCAAATGGGTCATTTGTGTTTTCTCTCTATTGTTCTTGATCATCTTGCTCTAGAGATTTATCAATGTTATTAATCTTTTACAAACTCAGTATTTTGCTTTGCAATTTTTCTGTTTCCTATGTCATTGATTTTTTTCTCTTATTTTTATCATTTCTCCATTGTACTTTGAGTTTAATTTTCTCTTTCCAAAGTTAGAAATTTATGCTATTGATTTTAAACCTTTCTTCTTTTTTTAGTATAAATATTTACAGCTATAAATTTCTCTTTGTGCACCACTTTGGCCTTATCCCACAGATTTTGCTGTAGCATATTTTCTTTATTCAGTTAGAAATATTTTCTAATTTTCCTTTTTGTTTTTGTTTTTGTTTCTTTGACTCTTGGGTTATTTAGAAGTTTGTGGTTTACTGTCCAAATATGTGAGGATTCTCTAGATATCTTCTTGTTGATTTTTAATTCAATTCCATTATAGTCAAGAACTACTCTGTAGAATGTCAATTTTTAAATTGTATTGAATTTACTTTATAATTCAACATATAGTCTTTCTTGGTGACATGTTTTAGTTGCGATTAAATAGAATGTTGTTCTGTGTTTGTTGATTACAATATTCTGTAATTGTTGGTCAGATCAAGTTAGTGTGATAGTATTGTTCAAATCTTCTAGATTCTTACTGACGTTTTTACTCTAGTTTTTTTATCAACTACTGAGAATGGGTTGTTAAACTTTTCAAATATGATTGTGAATTTGTTTATAACTGTTCGCCTTAATTCTCTCAATTTTTGCTTTATGCATTTTGAAGTTCTGTCATTAGGTACATAGATAGTTATCATTGTTATACCTTCTTTGTCTTTCTACCGTTATAAAATATCTCTATCTCTGGTTACATACTCTTTGGCTTGATGTTAACTTTTTTTTTAATGTTTATTAAAGAGAGTGAGAAAGAGAGTAAGCAAGGGAGGGGCAGAGAGAGAAAGGGAGACAGAGGATTTGAAGTGGGTTCTATGCTGACAACAGAGAACCCGATGCAGGGTTTGAACTCACAAACCGTGAGATTATGACCTGAATGAAGTTGGAGGCTTAACCAACTGAGCCCCCCAGACACCCCAGCTTGATGTTTACTTTGATATTAATACAGCCTCACCATCTTTCTTCTGCTTACTGTTTGTATGATATATCTGCTTTCTTCTTTAATTTTCACCCTGTCCTTATTTTTACAGTGTAGTTCTTGTAGACAGCATATAGTTGGGTCTTGCTATTTATCTAGTTTGTCTCTGTTTTTTAATTGGAGTATTTAGTCCATTTAAGTATAATGTAATTATTGATATGGTTATGTTTAAATGTGCCATTTTGTTTGTTTCTCTGTACCTCTTTTCCTAATTTCTTTTGATAATTGATTTTTTTATACACTTTAATTCCTTTATTGGATTTTTTTACATGTACCTATTTTTTTAGCAGTTAATCTAGGGATTATAATATGTACCTGTAACTTCTCATAGTCAATTTAAAGCTAATACTGTACCACTTCATGTAAAATATAATAACTGTTTGCCTCCCTCTGCCTTTGTGCTGTTTTGTCATGTATTTTACACCTACATTCATTGTAGATCCCACAATGTAATGAGATTTAAATTGTCAGTTTAAACTTAAGAGGAGCACAAAAAAGTAGTGTTTTTCATTTACCTACATATTTAACACCTCCGCTGCTCTGCTTTTCCTTTTTAAGGTCCAGATTTTCATCTGGGTCTATCTCCCATTTGTCTGGAAAACTTTCTGTAACATTTCTTCTGGTTTAAGGTCTGCCAGCATCAAGTTCAGTTTTTGTTATCTGAAATGTCTTTATTTCACCCTTATTTCTGAAGGATATTCTTGATCGATAAATAATTCTGGGTTGGGAAGTTTTTTTGTTTTGTTTTTTCTTTCATTACTTATGAGGATATCATTTTGTCATCTTCTGGCCTCCACTGCTTTTTGCTGTGAGGTTAACTTTCATTCATCTCATTGTATATATAATG